GATATATAAGCTGTTCGGATTTTTTCTATCTGCAAAAAGCGACATTAATTTCTTGACGACCTAATACTTTGCAGGTGACATTATTTCACAATGTAGACTGGCCACATCAATCAACTATTAAATTAATCTCAGACAGGCACTGTGTTGTGGTGTAAGTTGTGCAGATTATAAGAACAGGTAAGCTATGAAATACGAAGCTATTTTAGATACGATACTAATGTTATACAAATAGTGTCGCATCCACCACCTACACGTTTTTCTCTATAGCGATTCACTTAAAATTACAACACAACCTGCAATGCACAAAATAAGTTCATTTGACAAATCTGTGAGAGCTGCTTTGTTGCTAGGTTCTTAAAAGATTCGGAGCACAGGCTTCGTGTGCCAGTGGCTACCGACGCCTGTGCTGAAGCGGAAGAATTATTATTATTTGGCAAACTTGTGTGTTAATGAACGTGATTGTAACGAAATGTTTAATATGTGGTTTGTCTCCTGAATTCATGTGATGGAGATTTGTGAAATTAGTGACAGTTCGTAGAAAAGAGTAGAGACACATGACTACCTTTGACGATGAAAATATATAGCAAGTATTCTGTTTGTTTTAGAATTTTCACGCAAAGTAACACAAGGGCTATCTATTTACCTACGCACAGCTTTCTTACTTTTGAACTGAGAGAGTGAAGGTAGCTAGTCAACAGTATTCACCACAAACTCTTCAACTGCTTTTGTCTGGCCGAATAATTGAATTTGATCGTTACTGCTCAAGTTCACCAATGGCCCCAAGTTGCGGAGCGCATTTTGGAGGCAACGGAACGCCAGCCATGAACCCTTGGATTCACAATCCAGACAGCTTTTAACCACTAAGCAGTGTCTGGCCCTCTATGCTACCTTATGAACTAGTAACCGTTCGAAAGAGGAGTGGATTAACCTAAGATGTTTGTTTTTATAAGGTAAAACCATAGCATTTGTTTTTATCTATTTAAAAACAGCAGCCAAATTCTACATTTAAACGTCATGTGTTTTACACAATCAGTTTAATTAGTTTGGTCTTTCTTAGCTAAGTGTACATGTGATAAAAACAATAAAAGCTTGTGATTTTTAACCCATAGATGTTAAAGCTTTAAGACTGCATTTCTTATACATATTTATTATAGTTATTATCAGTTAATCTTTAGTGAAAGTGAAAGTTTCTTTCAGATATGTTGATAATACCTGATAAACTTTCTGAAATGTGCGTGTTCATAGTTAAGATCCGCTGCTGTGAAGGAAAGCCTAATAAATTTGACATATCGAATAAAAAAAAATGTTTATTAATGCACTGAAGCTACGTACGTTTAATATATTATCTCTGTAATTTAGCCACTTCTTTATGTCTTTTTTACAATCTCTTAGCTGTGGGTTGTAACGTATAGTTTTGTTACGATTGCATTTACTTGTTCAAGTCACGTCCAGTAATAAACATGTAACGTTTTACTCCTCTGATGAATTGATCCCTACCAGAATGAGGAACCTTCGACCTTAAAACAACACCATATGTGTAGGTAGAGACTTCTAGGGTTCAGGTATAGTTATTCCTGTTTTCTAACTACTGACCAGAGGTGAGACATCCGTCAGCAGCACCCGATGCCATAAGGGTTTCTTCCGACACTCTGAACCGAATAACTGGTCTTAGTGTAACTTTTATATTGCATCCACAACTG